TTTAGACTATAGCTCATATTAGCCATCAGCATGAGACCAAAAGACAGCCTCGGATGCGGCTCCATACTCGATGCCAATGCAGGCACCGCCTCAAAGACAGCAAGAGAAAGTTACTCTGTATAAGCAATACGTAGGATTTGGGGTTTGGGTTCAGGCATTACGGGTTGGGATCAGGGCATTGAGAGATGCAATTGTGAAGATAAAGTAAGATGGACTGGCCAAGCCACAATTAATTTGTATTGACCAACTGAGGCCCGCTTCCATGAGGCGTGACGGCTCAGCAGGGGATTTGTTACTTGAGGTTTCTTTCCTGTCAGGGCCCTCCAAGGCTCACAGGATTTTTTCAGGGCCTTGTGCCTGCCAACAATATTTGAGCAGGTGTCCTTAAGGCTGGAGCCTGTACCCAGGAAGATTCACAGCATAGTGCTCAAGTAATGTGCTGATGAATGGTCATGAGCATGCTGACAGGTCTTGTCAAGATCAAGTATCCTCACTTGGACGTCTGATCTCCGCGGGTCCCTGCAAGTCTACTAACGTTACCTGGAGGCGCGCGCTGTGAAAACCGAAACTTTAAGCCCTGAGCCCCAGGCGACAAACCCTGCAGCCCACAACGCTTGAAGCTCGAAAAACTCAAACTCTTGGAACCTTGTACCCTTGATGCAAAGTGAGACTGACAGCTACTTACTGATTACTTGCACCACGCTGTAGCATAAACTTGATGATGTCCAAGCTGCTGATGATGTCGCCAGCGATGGCGTTGATGATGTGGACCTTCGCCAGCGCATGTAGGATCAAGTTGAGAGAAAACCACATCAGCAACATTAGAAAGCTAGACTACACCTGAGTAAGGACAGCAATGCATTACAAAGCCGGCTGGAAGTGAATACAGAATCGCTGTTTGTCACATGGAGCTCTTGTTGCAGGCGAAGCCGATGTTTTTTGATTACCAAGGACCAACCGTGGACAGGCTGCTGCCTTTGTGTATACATATATACGCACACCTCGGGATCGTGATAGCCCAGAAACAGAGATCCCCCTAGGCTAGGTGCTGTTGAGCAGTGGGCACTCACCTTTGGGATCTTACAAGTAGCAGGAGCTTCAAAGTTTGACTGTAGCCAACATGTACTCCTTTCAAGGTCCCTGAACATGAGCCCCAGAACTTCAGGGCTAAGCTCTGGACACACTCCTGAGGCCTGCTTTTACGCCTACGGGCCTACAGCCTACAGGCACGACATTTTGGCGCTGCATGCTGGCCAGGCCACGCCCAGCAACTTGTCTGTCTCCTTGCAGGACAGAACCTGGCAATGAATTGGCACTGGATGGAATAAGATATTCCTATCTATTACTACATATTAGTATAATGTATCATACTATGTTATTGTAATATATTATAGCATAGAGGGTCCTTAATTCCTCTCCATCGCCGGGGTTCCGGGCTGACCAGTCTCGAAAGAAAGGTCTGGGAAATGGTGGATTGTAATACAGCTTTCTCAAATGGGTCGTCCTAGGTATGGTAGTACTATTAGTACGAGTAGTAACAGGCGGAATAAGAGTAGGAACAAGATTATTGTTACCACCCCCTGTCAAAATCACCCCCTGAACGCCCGATATACCTATGTCAAGCAAATCATAGGTTCGATATTCAAAACAGATAAACTTTAAACAATCTGGGGATTTTCTCTGGCCAGGGAAGTTTGGAGCTTAGCTCCTGGTACAAGTAGCAGCATCAAAGAATGAAGGCCTTCGGTGCGTACCCCCGGTTATAAAAGTTTCCATTTTCTTTTCCATTCCTGGTACACCCTAAACCCTAAACCTTAGACGCTAAACCCTAAACCCTATATAACCCATTATAGGTACGTAGTTTCCATGTTCTGTTCCATTTGGAATCGAAGGTTAGAGGTCGATGCTTGGCGCCTTCCAAAAAGTTCCAGGCTTGGCGCGGGGGATCCCAGCCAGCTGACGCAGTCAGCTTCGATGAGCAGATTGCCCTATAATATATAATAATGTACTATAGTATATTGTAACATACTATAGTATACTATAAGCAAGTCTTTCGCAGGTCTAGATAGACCAGGCATCCTAAGCACATGGGCCTTGACGAAGCCCTCGGTGTCCATGTTGGCGATAGACCGGCCGTTAGCCGCGAAAGCGAACTTGCCCTTGCGGTAGGCGACGCCTGCAGTGCTACAGGCGGCAGGAAGCATTGAAGGGTTTGGATCTTTTCCGGTCGAGAGGTTTGTTGGAGCAGCTCACAGACCTGTGCGGCTTTCTCAAAGTCGTGTGAAACTTCGATATTATGATTTCAGATTTGGGTTTCTGGGCCCGGGGCCATCGACCGGTGGATGCATCGAGCATTCCAAAGGGACATCTGTCGTAACCACGGCTGTACCAGTGTCCAGAATAGAGAATGAACCACAGGTTCCGTTCTGAGAATGTTCTGAAAGACTCATCTTGTCACTGATTACAAGGCAGCATATTGATAAGATCAAAACAGCGGATTGACGGGGACTTGAAGGCTTGCAAGTGCGGGGAGGGCCTACGAATGGCGCTGATCCAGGTCCTGCTCCTTGACCGCAAAGATCTCGCAACCCTCAATGGAAAAAGCTACCCATTCAAAATGCTCAACCCGGGCACCCCAAACCCCCGGCACCCTCTTCAGGCCTTCGGATTTCAGCTGGTCCTCGGACTTCCCGACCCAAGCCACCTCTGCAGGGAGGCTGTGCATCCATGAACATGGTGCAATAGACAGGGAGCTTGTTCGACACTCTGGGGCATCACTTTGAAGGAGTACTATCTCATGTTGAGCTATGCAGGGGCCCGTGCTAACAAATCCCAAGCTACTGAAGGAGCCTTCAAGTGTACACCCTAATCCCCAGTCTTCCACAAAAATGGATCCATAGTTACCCAGTCCCAACTCAAGGAGCATCACTGCAGAACCCTTGCACCCTGACAGAACAAGCATTTACAGTTAACTTGCATTCTATCCACCTGACAATTTCCATGAAGCCCTGCATCTTGATGTACCTGCCCAGACCCTCGCATCTCACACACCCAGTCCTGAACCAAATAGCACGGACGAAATCAGGCTACACATTCATAGAACCTTCCATAGACCTTAGGGAGTTTTCGGCTCCAGCCTTGGCATCACTACACTATTACAGCATCTTATAGTATAATGTATACTATAGTATATTATATGTTGTAATATATTATACTGTAGTACAAGAGAGCATACTATAGCATACCATAGTATATCATGGTATCTACACCCAATGGCATCGCTACATACCCTGCTGGTCCACATGCCACGTGAATATCCGGGTCATTCGCTGGTAAAATCCCGTTTGGGCGTTGACCAACTACTGCAGCAGCTCAATGACGCTCAGTCATAGTCGCTCAAACGCACCCCTGGGATCTTTGTGATGTAAGAACCTCAAGATCTTAACCTGGCTGTACCTCCACCCGTGGAACTTCTTCTGGAACATTTCGAACCCTCTTGTCTCAGAACCTACATGTACCTCATCTACCCAAGGCCCCCCCTTACGCCCACCCTCCCACCCCTTAAACCATCCCCTTCCCCGGCCCCCACAGCTGTAAATTTGCAGCTTCAACCTGACCGCTTCTGGGAGCCGATGCCTCAGGGTGAGTGTAGAGCACAGATGGCACCTGACATCTTGTTGAAAAAGCTGAGCTTGGGGTCAACCAAGGGGTTTCAAGTCTTTTGGGTTGAGGTTACAGCCCGCAAGCCTTCATGGAGGGCTCCATCTTTGAGACGCAAGGGGGTGGCTAAAGAAAGGTGCTGGGTTTCGAACTGAAGTGTGTGACCGAGAGGCTACAAACAAGGGCTTCGACATAGCTCTAGCATGAATCCCATGTTATCTGGACGCCGCTGAAAGGGCGCAGCTTAGCTTTCTGCAACATTGGATAGCATACAGTACACAGGATCAGGTCTAAAACAGCTCCTCTTGGAGGTGGGAAGATTCGCAACGGCAGCTCTGATAAACCCTTGAATGTTTTCTTTTTCTGCATAGGACACTCCATGGGTATGCCAGACTTGGCATGGTCTAGGAACCGCGCGCCCTGAGATACACTTGGCCTCCCGCTTTGGAGGGGTCCTTCAAAAGAACTTACTAAAGCATCTGAACTTTCAGAAGTATGCAGGCGGGTGGAACTCCGGTGCTGTAGCCCTTCCGGAATGCAGACTCTCGAGGCAAGCACGTTGTTGTAATCCAAATGCGGCTTCTTGCCGGTGGCCAGGTACCTCAGACTTGAAGGGCGCTTGTCTTGTGTTAGCTGGGGTCGTATGTAATCTCTGAAAGATCATTGAAGTTGGTAACAACGCCCCATGCTTTCAACGGCTTGCCAAATGCTACCAACTTGCAATCCACACGCTGATCATAGGAAGGGCCCTTGTCATGAACAAGCACGTAGTCTTTTGCATTCCCGCGCCTCCATGGGAATCTTTATTGTAGGGACCCGCCCAGACCCTAACAAAAGAGTACCCCGTGTGAGAACCCCTCCAACGTACTGAAGACTTGCCAAGCAGCTCTGCCACCATGGCACCTTCGTCTTCTGCCTGCTGACGGGGGAGGGGCAACTACTGTTGACAGACTTCGTGATAGAGCAGGGATTAGGGTGGAGAGACTGGGGGTGGTGCAATGGGTCACAAGAATGAAGATCAGGGATTACGAGTAGATAAGGACTGCTGAAGGGATCCGTTTCAAAGCAGGACAGGTCTGAGTGTAAAGCTCCATCTAAACTTCAGAAGTTGAGATTCGAGGCTGCAGCGCACCAGTCATCAGTGGGGCAGTAGGGGCTTTGTACCTTGCTCATCTGCAACCCCCAGTCTGATATCCCTGGGTGCAATGAGTCCTCATGCAAGACACGAACTCCTGTGGAACTGGGGGCCGCAACTACGCCACCCGGAAAACAAAAAAAACACTGGACCAACAAAGAGGCCCTACATGCACTCCCAGGAGACCAACCTGGGGATCACATGAGTATATTCCGTGGAAAGGTTCTCTGCTTAATCCGGAAACCCTCAAGCCGTTCATTCCATTCCCTGCTATCCCCATGGTAACCCCTATGACCCGTCTACGGACGCCCCGTTGAGTTCCTCCGACTTCTGTCGACAACTTAACTCCGGAGCTGATGCTCGACATTTTTATGAATGGCACGCGCCATCAGGCGTCAACCTCTGCAGCTTCCTAGGATCCTCAGCAGCCAAGAAATACAAGGATGCTCCTTCCAAAAGTGACCCAGTTTCATAAGGAACCCTGCCCCCCCCCCCCCCCCCAAAGGGGGAGCCGGTGCATACTGGAGAATCTGATGCAGGGTTTAGGGCCGTCAGGCTTAGGGTGTACGGCTTAGTGTTGTGCAATACCGCCGAAGTAAAAGCCTCTCCTATTCATGTCACGAACGAAGAATCTACATGAATCGCAGCTCTCTAGATCTTGAAGCCTGAGCTTGACCTAGATTGGTAGCTGCTCACTGGAGCCTTGTGCGCCAACATTGGGCCGTGGATGATGTCACCAATGGCCTGGAAAGCCGCTTTGTACTTTGGTCTTCACTCGCGGGTTTCTGGTTCCATGTTCGGGTATCATCAAGACAAATGTAAAGGTGTATTCCCTACTGGGTTTTAGCACAATACACACTGAAGCTCAGCTATGACCCGGGTTCCGGGCTTGGGGCTTAAGGCGGTTGAAGCTAATGCTTCTACTAATTGCAGTGCCCTTAAGTGACGTGACAAGAATACAGTTTCCATCAAACAGAAGTAGCCCACCCCCGTTGTAGCGGAATTCCCACATTGGGTAGTTTTTGCAAGCAGGGTCTCCCATTTGAAGGTTTTGTGCCCTTAATATCAGGTGCCCTATGCCACACAGAAACTTCTCGTAGTTCGGTACCCCTCAAACCTTGCTGAGGGTACAGCCATGCTTGCCACTTCCCCCTCATGCAGCCTCTTACGAATCCTTGCATAAACATTCCTAAAGCGCTACTACGGGCAGGCAATTCCATGTACAAGTTGCTGTGAAGTTTTCATTTGCTAGCGCGGCGAACACAAATTCTGCTTTAAGTTTTGAACTTTGCAAGCCCCATGGAACACCTTCAGGAGATCTCAGAAGGCTGCCTGTGTAGGTCTTAGTTGCAAGTTTCTGAGTGACCCAAATCGTAGCCAGGCAGCGTAGATGGATGGGACTGATGTCTGGAATTCATCGTTGACCTGCCAAGGCAAAGCATGTGATGTGGGGTTGAGTGGTATTTTCTGGGGTAATGACCTAAGATATGGGCTTGTAGGTGGGTGAGGTGCAAGGTCCAGGGGATATCCCATCTGACAAGTAGACCACAACTCAGCAGTTCATCACTCTAGGGTAAAGTTTGGGAGCTGGTAGCTGGAATCCGTGACATCGCAGCGCCCGAACTCCCAACTAACATAGAACCCCATATGGCACCGTCTGGAAGGCACGGAGCCTTTAGAGGATCTCTTCTGGTGTTCGATTTTTTGCAACATCCCGAGAATCCCCCACACAACCCACCAAAACCACAAACAAAAGCGTGTAACACCTTGAGAAACGCCTCTGTGGGTTGTGTATGAAGATCAGCTGTCACCTAAACAAGCCCCTCGCCTAAGCATATACTCCCCACGGTCCCCGGAATAATGAACATCTCCCCATAAACTCAGTGAGTGGTGCTATCTTGGGAACACTTGTTCTTCAGGGAGTGGGGGTTTCTATCGGTGGTTGGTGTTGTTCCTGGCCTTCACTTTCCTACCCTCCAAGGCAACGCCAACTTCCTCCGCATTGAGTCCATCGCCTCTGGCAGCTAGAGGTCACAAGGGTTGCATTCTCAGAATGGAGGTACAGGTACCCCTAGGCACCCTTTTGAGGCACTATTGGGATAGATATGGAGGATAAACGTGGGCAATAAGTAGGACATAGGAGCACCCTCGGGGTCTGCGAGAGTGCTTTTAGCTCATCCTGTGATCCCAACATCCTAAGATTTGGACAATATCTTGGCGTTTTTCGACACCTTGGGGTTCCCAAACAAACCTGATTGTTCCTGAGTTCGGCACTATAGCAAGACACTGTTGAAAGTGGAAGCACAACACGTTTTGAGAGTGGTCTTGTTCCTGCCATCGTGAGGGAGGGGATTCAAGCCTGCTCACTGATGCCGGGACAAACTCAGGATACAGCGCGGCCACAGCGAAAACCTCTATGAGATTAAAACATCTTGCACAAGCCCAGCGCAACGCCGAATAAACCTGTAAATAGTATCAAGAAACTGTTACTTAGTTCATCGAATCAGGCAAGCCGATCCAATGAGCAGGGAAACTCCCTAAGCCACACAGTAGGTCTAATAAGTGATCTACGCTTCAATAAGGTGCTCGAGCCGTAAGTGGGTGTGGTGGGGGTTCTTAAAGTTATGTAAAGATCTACAAGTTTTCAGGGTGACACAGGGGAATCCAAGTTTGCATACGTGCACGGATGAACTCCCAACCTAAGGTGCTTCTCTGCGAACTACAGAAGTGGTTGAAAATAGATAAGGTTGGATGGCTGTCAACAAATCATAGTGCGAGCCAGCGAGTCCACAGCTATTCTGCAAGCGCACGCTTGAGAGGCCAATTGCGGCTCAAGCAACATGAGTCCTCAAGCCTGCAGTCAACAGCAAAAAGCTCCAGAATCCAAATTCGGTTGTTTTCTAGCTCTTCATGGCTTGTTTGAACCTGATCATCTTGTGGCTTCTACCAGACCCGCTGTGAACACTAACTTCACGGGCTCTCCAAAAGCTGCACCCAAACACCACCAAAGAGCACGTCGGCTCCAGAGCCTGAGGATTTCTTTAGGGAGTGCCACGCATCCTGCAAAGCAAGCTTGGTAACAAGCTTCTTCGCGGACCAATGTTTTGATCGAAGCCGCAAACAACATTCCAACCTGAATTTCTACATGCCCTTGAACGCGGTCAATACAACCTTGTGCGGCTGTCAAAGTTTACAATTGCCTTCATCCCAGCTCCCTGAAGAGCATCATTGTCAGCATTCATAATGAAGAAGCTTGACGAATCAAGCACACCATACCCTTGTATCCCTGGTACGTCCTAGAATTCTCTAGACTATGCTGCCACCAACGCCTTCAATTAATGCAGGACACTGCATGTCCAGGACTTGCATCTGACAACGGACGTTCATGTTGCTATCAGTGTGATATTGGGAACCACTCGTGCAATATGTAATGGAAACATCAAGAGACCACACAATACAACTTGACCGGCTTTCCAACGAGGGCATAACATGGCTAAAGCTGTAAAAGCTAATAGCTAAGCCCCAGAACCCTGAACATGGCAACCTCAAAACTTGAACCCGAAGCCCAGGCCATGAACTTCTGCGGGCGACTTGCTGTAAGATCCTTCCTGAGGCAGGCGCGGAACTCCCGTCGGCCGACGCACACGAGGACCACGTTGGCATCCTTTGCCACGGAATTGGTTAGTTCGGTCTTCTGAAAAGGCGAGCTGAAACTTTCGTGGACGCTCTGAGAATCTTCTCACTGTGACACAGCAGGGTCGAAGTACGTGAAGCATTGGACGCACCCTGCATGCCATGAATCCGCAGATCTCGCTCATGCCTAGCCAACAGTTCAAATAAACGCAGAAGGCCACGAAGAAACTGCTTTGATCCTTCCAGCCCCCCAAAATCCTCAGGTTCCCTGCATCAACCATTCACCCTCCTCAAGACCGCTGAGTCCGAAACCATGCTTTCCGCGGCACCGCCGTCCGCAGGCTCAGTGGTGACCTATATGCACCAAAAGTGAAGCCTCTGGCTGGTTGTGATATTCTATACACTACACTACTTGGGGCTGCCAACAACAAGCAAATCTTTCAGGGTTTAGGGTTTGGGTTTGGGGAAGTTTGGGTTCTGGGCTAGAAGAGGCTGACAGATGAAACCATCATATACATTTGGGCAACTGGGAATTTCCCGCCAAGGAATCCAGAAACTTTGTACACCAATGCTTTCTTTCTACATGCTTGGCCTTTGTTGCCCTGTGTTCTGATTCTTCAGAAGGATCCCCATGAAATCAAGATACCTGCTTGAATGCCCGATGGCCAACCAAGCATGCTTATGGGTGCTTTGTTTAATTTTGCTCCTAAACCCTCTTGATAGGCCGAACTGAACTCTTGCTCGCAAACATGAAGTTTGGTTTCAGAAGACTTTCAGGTACAGGAGAGAGCAACAGTGAACAAACCAATCACTGATCTCCAAGTCCGAACATTGCCTCCAACTGCAAGCTTACAAATGCATTATTGGTAGGGGCAAGCAGCGCGCTCACGTGGACAGCATGGCCTTTCTTTTTGCAAAGTAACCCCCACAACACATGCATCTGCATCCAAAGTCTTCCTAGAACACCATCTCAAAACCTTTGTACGTAATTGGAAAATGCCGGAAGACTACAGGCATTAAGCCACCCACCCCACACCCTAAGCCGATACTTCGGAGCTCGGACCCAAATCCAGATCCTGCAGCGCAAATCCCAATAGCCTCCCCAAGCCCTACAAAGCGACCCATCATAACACTTTATCATCCGATTGCCTTGACCGTGCCCCCAGTCTTCTCCACACCAGTGACCTGTCAATTTCTGGCCCAGGAAAGGTCTACCTCGCTAATGAGGACAAGTCGAGCATTACAATAGTAGAGGCTTGTTCAGCGGGCCTGATGCTTGCTCGCTAGTGACTGGTGACCACTTTACCGTTGCGTGCGCTGGTATTAGAATTTGCCGTTTTCGTTCAGAACGCTTTTGTTCGCGGACTTACGGCCCTGTCAAGGTTCAGCGCGAGCAGCGATTTACGTGGGCTGCGGGAACTTAGTCGCTATGCTTCTGAACACCAGCCCCGCATCTTTTTCAAGTTCAACAATGAAGGACAGCCACCATCTGGAGTAGAGAGCAGTCCGATCCAAACAAGAACCTGCTCCCAATCCAGTCCTGAATACACCCTGTATCTTCGGCCTTTCAATGTGGCAGTCTCTCTGTAATATGGGGGCCTAAATAATTACCAATATAATACTGAGGTCCATTTGAAGTACCATATACTAAAAAATATACAAGGAATGTCCAACCATAATCTTGGTAATTATTTAGGCCCCTATATTACATGGAATGCATACAGCCAACACCTGCCTTCTACAACAGATGGGAGCTTCAGGCCGCCGCTCAAGTTCCAGCAACAGGAATTGCGAAAGTGCCCAAGTGAAGGGTAAGTCCCATGTAAACAAACTCACAATGTACACCCATGATTAATAAACCACCTCCTTTTAAGGGCCTAAATCTTAGGATCCCCTATTATAATCCCTATGAAGGGAAGGGGGTTTATCAATCAGGATTCCTGAAAGCAGTCAGCAAGACACCCTGCAGAAAACCGCCTCAACAACAACGCAGTCTTCAGGCTGAACCCTCATCCGGCGATGCATGACCTGACCTAATTACACCTCACAGCTGACTCATGTTGATGAAGATCTGATTGAGGCATCCTTGGTGCTGATCTACAGCAGCCCCAACTGAGGCAGACTTGGTGCCAAACCCTATAATGTCGGGACATAGAGAATAGATATACAGTCTTGGGTACATCTCATACGGAAAAGGTAGTGACGACTTCTACACTATATTATATCTCGAAAAACAATCTTGAAATTCTAAAGTCTGCAACCTAAAAGTCCCGACTCCTCTGTGAAACTCACGGATCCTTCCCCTACTTCTACCCAATCTGCCCACCGATGAAACACCGTCTCAATTCCAAAAGCCAGGAGGTGGCATCGAAAGGGAAGAACGGGAGGATCTTCCAAACTGTTCAGGCTTCCATTCTCTCATGGGGTAGCCACCAAGCCTCATTCTCCTCAACACCCTAAAGCGTAAACCTCTAAACACTTAGAACCCCAAGAAACTCCAAAGGCTTACCTTGAGCGCGACACATCCTAAACCTGCCAACCCTCAACTTCGAACCCCAAGAGACCTTAAAGCCTGACCCTAACCAATCACAGGCCCATACGAGCTATAGCCTTTAGTATCCCCCTGAATACGTCATAGTCGTCCCCTATATAATGCCCTATACAACCCCCTTAGAGTTTAGACTATAGCCCATATAATCCTTTTATAACCCTGTATGTTATATGTATACATATATATATATAACAGTATCCATTTTATTTTCCATTTGATTCTCCATTTTTGAGTATATATAATAAACCCTAAAACCCTTTTGTACAACCCTAAACCCTAAACCCGTCATAAACCTTTATAAGCCGATATACACCCCCCCCCCCTAAGGAGTTTAGACTATAGCTATTATAGACCCTAAACCTACAACCAGACCGTGAGCGGCCGACCTTGGTGGACATTTTAAACGTCATGCCCTGCTTGGTCCTTGGGAGTTCCATGCATTGGGGATGCCAAGGTTGCTATACATCCCCAATATATCACCAATATATCCGCTTACCCCTTATATAATAGAGTTAGGATTGCAGCTTGGGATGCTTCACGCATTGGGTTTTTGTCTGGAAAGGCTCTGAGGATGCAGGTGCGGGTTCACAGGGATCCCAAGAGCAACAAGGAGCAAGGCCCTGTTCCAATCTTCGACCGAAAGCCAGGACCTTCGGACGTCATAGCAAATCCTATTTTTAGGTATCCTGAATCTGTATTATGATTAGCCCCAGTCCGGCATTGTTAGCCCGAGACCTAACCGTTCATTTCATCGCAAACGAAGCCCTGCAACGCATGACACCCAAACCCCCTTGACCTCATTTCATCTTTTTCAATGAGGTTGAACTTTCTTAGCCTGTGCTCTTAGGGACTGTGGCTGGATTTGTTCTGTCAAGGATTGGAAGTTGGCGAGCTTTCTCACGGAAGTGGTTGAGAAGTTCCTGCGAAGCCCCTCGTCTTAGAATCCCACAATGCTGTCATCGGAACATGGGCAGGGTGAGAGCCAAAGCTGCAAGCAGTGAACATGACAACGACACTTGTGTCAAACAGTTTTCGGAATAATGGCAACGCTCAGAGTGGCAGAACATTACGTGCTGCTGATGAACAATAAATCGAATTACCATCAGCAAGCCGGTCCTTGTTTATGCTGCTTACTTCTCCTTTGCACATGTTTCTTCTTCGTCTTCTTCCTGTTCTTGTTTTCGTCATCGTTGTCCTCCTCCTCCTGGCTACTGTTACTGTTGCTGTTGTTACTGTCATTGCTTTGCAGTAAGTAGTGGGGCAATGGGCACATAAATCTGAATCCAAGGGGCAGAATCTTCTGCATCTCCTTGGACACCTCGCTATCAATTCCAATGCCTGGAACCACAGGGTTTCTTGCTTGAGGACTTCGTGGCTTTAGGCTTTGGAGTGTGGGGTGCGGGAATTCAGCTTGCGTTCCTTGATTCAGGCAGGCTCTGCAAACAAGAGACCCAAGAATCATGAGCTTGCAAACCTTCTGAGAAAATCCATAGCTGGAAGTAGGCGTGTGGGCTCGGGCTCATGGTCCTCAGGCGTGCACGGGCTAGACAATGAGCAAATCCTACAATCAAGTTGTTTTTCTCCAAGGCTAGCCATTCACCAAAGCCCTCTCTGACCTGGCTTGTATTGGAGCACAACTCCTCTGATCTGCTATCCGCCTAACAGTGGTCTACAAAGCACTTGCACATGTCAGTAAAAAAAAGCAAAGCGCGTCTGGAAACTCACGGGCATTAAAAACCTTACTACCTACCCCTTGCCTTCGGTCCCAGCCCCAGAGTCTCATAAACCTTCCCCAAACTTCTGCCACATATACTTGGACTGAAGGCTGGTACTGGTAGTGTGGCATTCAAACTCATCTTCCTCAAAGGGATATACCATACCACGCTCCAAAATCCTCTTCCAAGGGTGTTTCAGCTCTACCTTTGAGACCATAAGCTTGAAAAGATGCATGGCCTCCAATGGTCGGCAGGAATTCCACAACCTCGATTTGGGGGTTAAAGGTCGCATCTATGACACCGAGGATCAAGGGACGCATGAAAGGGACCCCACTTTGAGAAACCCCTGCTGCATACACTAGAAGCTGACAAGCGAACCCTGCACATATTCCCTATGTGCTTTTCATTTGGGGGTTCCCAGTATTAGGGGTACCAGTTTGGGGGTCCCAATAATAATGATTGTAGTATATCGTTTACAGCTCACTGCCAACAGATTGGGCCCTCTGGTGCTCTTCACCGCCTGGGGAGATGAATCCAAAGAAACCCTGCCACGAAACGGCAAACAACTTGAAATAACTGAGCTTCCTTAGACAGGAGGACCTAAATATAGACCCCCAAATACTATGATCATNNTCTCCCCCCCCCCCCAATATTGGGAAACCTCCACATAACTGTATTAAGTTGACCATGCGCCATAAGCCCCAAAACAGTGCCATACTCTCTAGGTCTTGCAGGGTCTGCGCAGTAGGTGGAGTTGAAGGTTTAGGATGTAAGCTCAGCGCTTTTCAACAGCATGAGCCAAGAGAGCCCCCAAACCTTTGTTGATATGATTCTTCTTCCGTTTTCTTTTCTTCTTTCCCATTCCCAACCCTAAGCCCTATATGCCCCAAATAAGGTCTTTCAAGGCAACCCTGCTCTAGTCGTTTGGCCCAGGGTGTATCTGCGTCTGCTTTGGGGCTTGACCCTCATTTTCACTTGGGATTCGCAAGGGCAGGGCCTTTGCATGCGCAGGACTGTCAAGATTATGGTCGAGCTCGGGGTACCTACTGTAATACGGCCCATAATATGTAGCGCCACCAGAAATACACCATAATTCTGACAACCTTCCACACTATATGGCGCACGGGTACACCGACCCTTCACCCTAAATCATGTGCAGGGGGTTCTTGATTATGGCCAAGAAGCGGTGACCTTGGAACCCAGGCGCTCGTATACAGAGCCCAACTCCAGTCCAATGACCTTGATTGTTTCCAGTATCCACCACGCATGGCTGTGGGGTAGATTCGGGTACATGCAGGAGTCCATTTTTAGGGATTGTGGAGACGTAGCTCTGAAAAGTGCTCATCTGCAACATCGCATGGTAGGCTTCAGGACAAGAGACGCCACCGCCAATCACGACGAGCTTCTCCGGAACCTGCTTCCTCACGGCACCACACAGTTTAGGGTATGCAAGTCTGTGACTTGCCATATCCAAAGTAAGTACTGCTGATGTCAGAACCAAATTTCAGCGAGCAGTCGAATTATAAGATGCTAACTCTTGTAGAGAAAAGATGGCCACAAGCAAAGCACCATCTCCCAAATGGATGCCCAGACATTTGGTCCTTTTGAAATATAAGACAGCCAAAGGTCGCTCAGGCAAATTGCTCGTCATCATTCCTAGGGACTATATACCAGATTCTCCCGCAATGTGCAATCAACCATCAGGCTGGAAACCCTGCATCCTTTGGTGCCCTCCCCCAAACAAAGCAAGCGTCAGCGCGAGGGCGCCCGTCGATGAGACGATCCTTGCTCAGGATATCAAGGTTTTTCATAGCTCTCACGACGAGAGTGCTGCAGTAAAGCTCGGCTGGGATTAGGGATGCATATGGGACCTACACTTCAAGCCGGGTTTAGGAACTAGTTTTTCTATGCCCAAAACAGAACATGAGTAAAGTCGAGTTCATACCCTCGCAGACATAAGAAGTGTGTCTTTTGCTTTGCAACCCAATCCCATGATCCCAACCTCTTCAACCAGAATCTTCCAATTCCAAAAGTGCAAGCCTCTAAACCTGCTTGGTGCCACATGGCAAGGGGCGCTTGAAACTGGATGTATCCTCATCAGCCAGTCACCTAAGGCCTACGTTTTCTCGATTAAATCTCTACATAATTCGCTTGAACTTGTACGTTTGCAAACCCTTTGTGCAAACTCTGGGTCCAACCATATCCATTTGAACAACCTTCAGCCCCCTCAAATCAAACACTCCAATGAGGCGGCCATCTCCAAAGTGATGATCGGCTTTGCCCGAATGCATGGTTCTCTGAACCGGCCCCTGATGTTGTTGTGAACAACCCATGAAATAATCCCTGGATCAATGCATGAGAACAAGCTATCTTTACGCATAGGACCCATAGGTTCCTATAAGCATAAGATGCTGAAGCACAGAACCTTTGTTGCCCATGTCGCTTTAACTGCTGCCGGGACGCTGTTCCTCATCAACTGAAACGAAAGGCAACTTCTCGATGACTTCAGAGCCTGTGGCCAACCTCAGCAGAGGTGTCAGGATGAGTTCTTCGTTAAGGATATGGTTTCAAAGCTGTAAAGTTTTTGTATGGGGGATGTGCAGGCCCCACGTAGAGGTAACACTTGAGTTTAGGGATCAGGGCTTAGTAGACGTCTCAAGGTACTTGTATCCAGATGTGGTGCCCTGTTAATCATGCATATGCCGTGATTTTGGCGGTAGAGAAATCATGAGGAAGGTTCTCGGAGTTCTATGGCCTTCCACACTTAATGGTGCGCGTTTACACCGTGTGCAGTTGATTGGAGACCTGCCTGCTGTACTTCCGGGCTTGGTTTCGACGCATGCTGGAATTCTCAAGGACTTAGATTATGGCTAGTAGTGGCAAGCTATTTGGGATGCAGGGGCGTTCCGGAGAAGGTTGGGCAATCAATGGTGCTTGATTCCAAAAGGCAATGAAACTTCAAACAACTGTGGGGGCTCCTGGATATTGACTGAAAAGCACAGGCACCCAGCAAGAACGATGATTGAAAATCCTGTTTCCCTGCCACATTTCTTGTAAGCAGAGGATGTGCGGTGGTCTCTGAAATTGGGATCCCGCCCAGATGGGGATTTCTCACAACAGGGGTACCCTATGGACCCTCGAGTTATGTGCTTTTGTAGGCTGCCCAGTTTGATCAACTTGTCATTGGTTGTGCACCAGGGAATCTAGGCCGCATGTCTAACCACCTGAGCCAACTGCGGCAAAGAACCGCTGGAATTTTGGTGCAGCCATTGCTAAGGGAAAGCTCTGCATATCCTTAACCCTTGGGCAATAATCCAGGAAGCATGATGTTCTTTGCAGTGATGGTCTGCTCACCACCGTCGTTCATCGCCACAGTGACCTGGCTTCTCAAACATCTGGTAGGTTTGGGGATCCAGAGTTGAGCTCTTCTAGTAGTTTGCTTAGTAACATAGTTTGCAACAGTCCTAAGGCAGGGATGGTTCCCAAACCCTGCGTGCACCCTGGACCGCCTAAACCTTCTATAGAATCCAGATCCCAGCTCCGGTCCGCCCCCGACACGCTACGACTTGGCAGAGCCTTCAACTTCTCGCCCCTCAGTCCCAACTTTCCAACGTGAAGCAATGTAGCATCCTCCGAATCTTCCGGCACTAAAGCCTTAATCCAGCCCTCAACCATGGACCCTAAACAGTAGCTTCCATTTTCTTTTCCACTATCCCCCTGTATACCTTCTACGTAACCCCTATATACCTCTATATGTTTTGAGAATATACCCCCACATCTCCCCCAGGGGTTTCACGAGGGATCTTCTGCTACAAACCTGCCCGAAGCACGGAGTTGGGCCCCGTGAGCTTACCGTGGCCCTTGAGGTAGGTGACCTGTCCGGCTCACCGGGTCTTTGGGAAAAGGCATGGCAAATATAGAGATTATTATGAGGATCATACAGGGTACTAATCTGTGGAGGCATCCATTTCAGCAAGTTTACATTTCCGTTGGAAAACACATTGGGTATGCAGATTGGTCCAAGGGGCTATATAGGGACTGCTGGTTTAACGATCCATGTCTTCCTTTCCCAGAGCTTTGCGGGAAGATTTTAGGTTTGGTCTAGCAACGATGTTGCAAGAATCGGGCTTTGGTGTGCGGATGCCATAGGGCTGAAGTCCAGGTGTTGCTGTATGGCGTTGAATGACAGCTTGTGTAGGCATTCTGTGGGCGTATGGAGCTGTAAAGATCCAGCCGTATAATGCGCAAACCGCCAAGATGAACTCCAGGGTAATAATGCGGTCAACGTACTCATGGTCACAAGGTTGGGGTATGCTACTCAGTTTCTCGCTGTGGTACCTCGAATTGGACAAGGTGGTTGGGAGAACCTCTACGGATCATGCTTCTCTGAAAGCTAGCTTCAGCCAGACGTGGGGGGTATGGTGATCAAGGTAAGGCCTGTCAGGGTTTGGTGGCAGTGTTCAAGGTGTTGAGTTTCCGAAATACAAAACGAATCTGCTCGGGCCGTCGACAAAGCCTGTGCTACTCCAGAAGCCCGGCAATTAGTCTAGAAACGGGATAGTGACGCAGCTGCTGAATCATTTCAACATAACTATAAAAATCCCAAACTGCTTACCTACCAGGCTACTTCATTAATTAAGTATCTGAGACAACAATCCTAAACTCGGCAAACATTGTCGGTGCCCAGCACAGATCTCCTATGCCTGCACACAAGTTCTTGGGTCTTGCGAGACCTTGTACCTTGTCTTCATTGCTTGCAAAGCACTAGCCCTGCTGTACACTGCCACCACACCAGCAATGACGAAGTCGCACGTCTTGTCACACTTCAGCACTCCACACACCACTGAGATGTCAAACTTACACTGCAAAAGATCGGCTCGCAACGTACTTTGCCGCTTGACATGTTGAAGAGTGGTCACAATTGAAGAGGGATGGACAGGACCTGCAACGATTTACAGAAGGGGTGCGATCTGGACGGTATACTTCACAAGGATACACGGAAGGTACCCCAGATGAGGCATTCCACATCTCTATACTCTCCTAGCAGCCCTTGCATGGAGCAGACTCACTGCTACGGTCTTCACAGCACTGCAGCTGCAAAAAGGGCAACTTATCCGATCAGTGGAAGGAAGCCTTGGAGGGCGTACGACCCTGAAGCTCAAGACCTATAAACCCAGAAAACTCAGACCTCTACCTGGCCCAACCTCCAGCCACACAAAATCAAACCAGGCCTTGGACGATCCTAGATATGGTGTCTTAACCTCGTTCATGCACATTGCAGAGCAACCCGTTCCGAAATGTCAAGCTCGACATTGCCAGCCTTGTCCCTCTTGAAGAGCCCCTCAATACCTGGCTACGGATCAAGCAGGGGATTTCGTGAACAATCCGCTAACAAGTGGGGGAGCCCTTCAGATGTGGTTCTGCTGTGGCTTAACAACAGGTATCGAAGTGTGGCAGAGCATGAAGACTTGCAGTTTATGGAGCCTGCTAGAAACTCAACTTCAAGGTGATTGGCGCTTTTGCAATAGCCATTGCAGGTAAGGTTTGGGCACTTAATCAATGTGCTTCGCGAAGGAAAATCCGCAAAGTCTTGTGTGACATCCAGGCCCCACAACGGACATCCTACTGTTGATGGATGAAATCTTGCACGACCTAGGGGCTTTAAAGTACTGTAATTCCCAGGACTTTAAGGACTTAAGGTGGTGCAAGATTTCCCCCTAAGTAATGGACTTTGGCAGGCCTCTACCCTTGCACTGCAAAAGCACTTGGAAAACAACTGTTTCTGGTGCATGTGCGTTGAGATGTGGGCAGAGCTTGTTGTCCTGGCGGGGGACCCTTGGTCCTTCTGTCCCTGAAAACAGGTATCATGTTACAAGCCGTCAACCCCTAGCGCCTAAATCAGAACCACTAAGCCCTAATCCCCACTGGCCTACATCCCTGGATTCCTAAGATTGGCCGAGGAGGACTCAGACACAAAGCATCCAGCACGGCGAAACATAACAGGCAAATCTTCGTGTGTGTACACCCATGTGGGAATTAAACTGCTCTTGCGCTTGTGCCATCGAAGCCCTCGGTGCAAACCTGTACTTCTTCTTAGAGCAAAAAATTCCGAAAACTGGGCCTCCGGTAAGCTTCTTGACCGCCGCGTCCTCACTCGGTGGATGTCTCAAAACAGGGGTACCCTTGCGGCTGACGGATGGCAAAATGCATACCCCAATGTACCAAAGCCCTACAAAGCAGGGTAGCCTAGCATGTGCGGGGTCGTGCAGGATTTTGTCCTTAAACCCTAGGCATTCTGGGGATGAAGGGGGATTTGCACTCAATTCTAGAAGTTCCCAAAATATAAATGAAGGTGAAAACGAAGGGCTTGGACCAGAGCTTCAGTGAGCGCTTCATGTCTGATGCCCTTCCAATAGGGGTCCTCATGCTGGGCACCCCGCTAAGGAAGAGGTACCCGCAACTCCAATTATCTACAGCTGAGTCGCAATGACCTTCTAAAAACCATAAAGCTGAAGGTGCCCAGGGATAAGAGACCATGCAATCCCTAAACCCCAAACCCTGAGCCTTAATCCCAAGGCCCCAAAGCCGCAACCCTAAGCCTTTAACCCGGCGTCCTTGTTGGCCATCATCTTTTCAAAGTCAACTGAGAGGCCAGCCTGAGGATTTGTTGGGGGGTGTAGGGAAGTTTTAAATATTGAGAACGCTGCAGAGCTAAAGGGGCCTTTTAAGGGATTTCAAGAATGTTTAAGCTGCTTTTAGCGGGTTGTCGGGGTTTTGCAGGTTTGGGGTTTAGCACTGGGGGTTCAGGGTGTAAGGGCTTAGTTCTGGCGCCGCGTGGAGGTCCCGTGCAATTTTTTAAGTGGCCAACAACTTTGAACAATGTACAAAGAGGTCTTCTGCAGGGTTTATGCGAGCCTGTAGGTGCTGCTCTGCAGACAACTACGACTGCAGGGGCCGAAATAATTACCAATATCATTTCGAGGTCCATTTGAGGTACCATAGCCCATAATTATATAAGGAATACGGAACCATACTGTTGGTAATTATCCCTGAGCCGTAAACCCTGAACCCTAAACCCATAATGTTGGTAATTATTTCGGCGCCGATATTAGTGGATGCACTTAGGAGCACCCTCCGACCTGCTTCGTCGCGACACTTAACATGACATGCATTACAAAAAACACGGTGCAGCCCCTAGACTCTGAAAGTCCTGGTGCTTAGGAGGGAATGGGGATGGATTATAGGGACCATTATTTGAGATTATATAGGGACTACTATAGGGATCCATTCCCCCATTCCCTCCTATGCACCAGGGAGAACATTTTGAGCCCCGAACCTTGCCCTAAACCAGCCCACCCCAGACCTTGAGGTCTAATTTCGACACCCTTTTCAGCATCCTGAACTCCACGCCTCGAACCAAAGGAGCCTTTCTCCAAATTAGGGTTCTCTTTTGGGGATCAGGACCCTACCAGTTTGGGGGGTATGGGGGGCGCTGTATGGAAGGGAGAGAGGGGGTTCGATTTTTTGCGCAACTAATCTTCTTGGGAACTGTATCTGAAGGCCGAGTATACGTCCCACATTAATTAGGAGGTTGCCTGGGACTTAATGAAGGACCCCTGCACTGCAGCAACTACCCTCTCCACACAAGAGAAGGACACGTTGTCCCCCCCCCTCCCCCCCCCACACACACAGCACTTTAACTGCATCGTGGCTGCCTGTTTCGAAAACTCACAAAGAGTCCCCCTAATACCCAAGGCAGACCAAATCACACTTCTTGGAGAGACTGCCCACATACCACAATCTTCGACAAGTCGCGGCGCCCTTGATCCCTCGCCTCAGACATGAAAGAGGGTGGGGTATGGGGATCTAAAGGCTCCCATAGTGGCCTGTGAGATTTGGCTCTGTGGGTGGGGTGTCTGGGCAGGGGGTAGAATGATGCCACCACGAAACGTTACAGCCCTGATACTCGGCCCCTTGTCACGAAAACATCTGACGGCTACAGGACTTGGGCCATGACCGGTTTTGTCGAGTTTTGTCAGGGACTTCTCAACAATTCTGGTCTCACCAGGGCCAGCGGCTAAGGGACTGTGTCATTTTCAGCAACACAACACAAAATCTAACATGGAAAACATCCCGTAATGGTGAAGGAATGAAGAGGTACGCCTTCAACTACACCCCAAACCGAAACTCCCCCAAACCCTAGACTCTCTGGCGCGTAAAACGGATGATTATAAGCCGGGTCGCTGCTCGAAGGTCTTCTGTGCCTCATGGAGCATTGCTGAGCTATGGAGCAAGGCCTCGCGGAGCAGCCACTGCTGATGAGGACTCAGAAACTAAACTGGACGCTCCTGGGCTTTTAGATACCTGTTACTTGGCTATGAATGTAGGCATAGACAGTACCCACAAAAACAAACAAGCTTCATAAGTAACCTAGGATGCTCCCAGCAAGGGAGGCGAAAGGGTTTGTCGGAAAGACAGTTTCTGCGTCTGCGGATCTTCCGGAGTAGTTAAAAGTCTGGGGAAGCAATGGATGCTGTTCTGATTGGGGTTAGATAGGTCTGCTTTAAGGAGCCAATGCAATCCACAATGCAAATTACAACACACGGTTTTCTATTGCCTGGTTCTAAGTTGGGCTTTCCCTACCTAGGACGGGAGTCAGTCTCTATGCCTTTCCACTCACAACATGCGGCCAATCTCTCGCTGCCCCAGTCCTGCAGAAGCCAAACAGGACTACGGTACTCCTTGAGTAGCCCGAAAATGAATGAGATCGCAGAACATGTAAAGATGCTCGCCAATATCCGAATGCTGCCGTATACCCAATTACCGGGGTTGTAGCTCCCAATTAGCGGGCAAGTACTACCAAGCTGTAGGCAGTTGGTGTTACGCCAATCGTTCATGAAGGGCAATATGACGATGGCCTGTTCTTACATGCTTGGGCCTGAGCTGAGGCTCCCCATAGTACCTCTCATGCCTAAAGGGAGGGCCCTCGGTTCAAATAAGGCTTCACGTCTACCTGGGGTAGTCACTAGTAGACCTAGGACGCTTCTCATGGAAGTTACAATGAATTGCACAAAGTTTATCCACGGCCCCTCTCCTTCTGTACAGCCGCCGCCGCCGCGCCAAATGTAGCAATTGGTAATTTCTCGAAACCTGAAGAGGGACCCTGGTATTCCCTGCATGATCTGTAGTACCTTAGGCCCCTGTTTTGAGAACCATCCCCTCTTGATTGCAATTCAGACTGCCATGCCTTGGACGGAATGCATCCGACCTGAGAATATCAGAAAACCGTTTTGGCGTCTCACGGCTTCCTACTTCAGGATTTGGGGGTTTCCCAACATTAACGGTACCCTTTTTGGAGGTTCCTATAATAAGGACGATAATGGTTTGGGGTCTATATTGGGGTCCCCTTGGTTTGGGAGACTACCATTTGGGGCTCAATTTTGGCTTCAACCCTTGTGGCAATCGGAGGAACGCTGAACGAAATAGAGACCTCAGAGCTACTTAGTTGGAGGGATTACACGAAGGATGTAAGCGTTACGGCAACGAGGTTGTCATCCTTCCCAAACCTCAGATACAGGACCAACCCTAAGCAACAAGGCTGTAGCCTCTCTGCATGGATCAAGCAGAGATTCTCTGGAATGTAGGCATGAAGATTCAGCACAGCTACCTCCCTGGATACCAAAAAGGATATACATGAATTGAAGGGACTTTATAAATGGGGCTTGCTTATCCCAAAATGCAAAGTCCATATTGGGGATGGGGACCATGCACCAAAAGTGGCCCAGCCCCGCAAGGCTCCGTTCAGCTTGTTCTTCTCTAGCCCTTGATGCCTTCCCCGGGCCTCCGTGCAGGGGCCAGTCAGTAGAGGGGCCGATGTAAGTGGAACAGGGTCCATCAGGACCCCAAATCCTAAATTGTAGTTTCCATGTTCTTTCCCATTATCCCTATATAACCCCTACATGAGGGAAGACAACGCCTCTGAAAAGTACAGTACAGCGCTCTGGCCACGACTGGGGCAGGGAAGCGGTGAACAACTCATAAAGGCCTGCGATTCGTCTACTGATTCTACAGCTGGATGTACTGCAGGCAAGAACCCCTATTCCCTGAAGCCCTAAACCCTACACCCTAAACCCTAAACCCTGAACCCTAAATTCCCTGAAGCCCTAAACCCCTAAACCCTGAATTCTGCATGGCCCAGTGAGTTGGCTGTATTGCCATCTCCAGAACCTTGTATTTGGAGTGTCAGGGGGACTTAATAAATAGGTTACTAATGGAGATAGCTAGGGTTGCTTATTGGGTTATAGGGATTGTTAACCGGATTACATGAGCCCCCCTTAAGTGTGTTGTAGGGGATATATAGGTTATATGGGGGATTGTTATGGGGGAGTATTATGGGACTTGCCACTGTTCACGTATATGGGATCCTACAGGATTTACTTTATCAACAATATCAGTCCCAAGCCAACCGCAACCCAAAAGACCAAACACCGCTTGTCAATGCTGCTAACCATAGCCACCCGACCTTTTCCCAGAGCCCTAAGCCCAATGGGCCACAGCCCTGCAAAAGAACCCTTGACCCCCACACCCTTCCCCCATCCACCCTACAGGCCCAAGAGCTCTCACACACCACTGACCTCCATTGTCTTGTCCGAGCAGCATTCAAACACGTACCGCCTGGGGGACCTCGCCTTTGCAACCAGAGACTGTGAAACCATGGGTGCGGAGCAGGGCGTTCTGGTCTTTAAGGTGTCACCGAAGTCCCGTGCAATGTGCAGAGATGTGCAGACTAGCTGCTCAAACCTACTGGGGGCTTCTATAACGATTTTGGCTTCAGGGTGGGTGCAAGGCTTTAGTCAGAAGTTTCAGGATCGACGTACTGTATTGCAGGATGTTAAATGCAACTCACTGCTGAACATGACGCCACATCATTCATGCCCCTCACCCGCACAGTGCCATGCTAGAAAGGGCTATTGGACTCATGCCCCCCCTTAGCACGGAAGTGCGAGAGAGGGCCCAGTGCCTGCATTCTGGCAAGGGTCCAAAACAAATCCTGAGCCCTGCAGCGCACATGCCTATTTCATCAACCATTACTCCCCAAAACTCACATTATAAAGCCAATCCCTGTGTTTAGGGACCTTAGTCAGTACCTAGCAGGTGAGGACGAATCATGTTGCGGGGAAAGGATTTTTCCCTGAACCCCAGGCCCGATTGCTTCTCCTATATGCAGGAGACTAAACATCCCGTGGGGACATATCAACAGGATTGGTCTTGTTTGTCGTTCCTGGTGCTTAGTAAGGGCATCTGAGAAACCCGTCGTTTGACTCCGGCAATCTGAACATTCACCAAGCTTTTCCTGTAGTCTCCTTAGACCTATAATACAAATACTATTTCTAATATTTCCTCAGGGTTATACTATAATGAAAATTAAGAATAAATCCTAAGGACAGTACACTTTCTGGGGCTCAGACTTGTCGATGCAAACTGTCTTCAAGCCCAGCTGTGCTGCCTTGATGGCACCTTCGCGGCCAGGATGAAAAACAGGGTTCAGTCCCACAATGATGGAGAATCACAAAGAAATTGTTCAGCAAGTGGTGCTTAGGGTTCTGGAATTTAGAATGGAGGGTTTGGGTGCAAAACATGGGGTTTAAGTTTAAGAAAATCAACGAAGCGGTCCTCATGGAACTTTATCTGTAGGATCCTGCTGTGCTTCCCAACTACTGGACACCAAGCAAGCACTGAATCTCAAACAAACTCCCAAACCAAAGCCCAAACGCCTGACCCCCAAATCGACGTAACGCGGTACCCCATCCCAAACCCCAAGACCTCCAGCCCAAACCCAATAACTCCACGTCCCTCAAACCCTGATGAGAGTTTATGACCAGGTTCTAAAAACGATTCTTTTCGGATGTAAGGTTTCAACTGTACATAGTAGCCGGTTCATTAGACAGTACTTTGGCTTGTAACTGCAGATATAACTGGGACATAAGTGCCACCCTAAACCCTAATAAGACTTTAAACCCTAAATCCTAAACTCTACATTAACCCTAACTAAACCCTCAACTCTAAGCCTAAATCCCAGAAATCCTAAGCCCTAAACCCCTAGACCCTAAATAGTCGGTTCCATTTTCCTTTCAATTATCCCCATATTAGTCCTAATATAACCCTAAATAAATCCTGGCGCCTGTGTATCCGCCAGGTCCGGCCCCGATGACGCCTGGACCGCTGCATACAAAGGGGCTAATGCAGGGTTTAGGATTTAAGGGTTAGGGTTCAAGATTTAGGGTTCAGAGTTTGAGGTTTTAGGGTTCAGAGTTAAGCACTTAGGGGGTAGGGTACAGGGTTAAGGATTTAGGGGTTTGGGTTCAGGGTTTAGGGTTGAGGGCTAGGGTTCAGGATTTAGGGTTCAGGATTTAGGGGTTTGGGTTCAGGGATATGGGTTTGGCGTCCTAAATGATTTCAAGAAATTTGTTCGCGCCCTTGCGTATGGGATTTGAGGTGATGAGTTCGTGAGACGTGAAAGATTCAAGTTCTGAATAGATGGTAGGCACTTGCAATGTCATGGCAGCTATAAGAGCCGTTGTCTAAACTCCTAGTATCCCCCTTAGTAACCCCTATAATCATCCCCTATATAGCCCCCTTTAAGGAGTTCAGACTATAGCTCATAAGGTCTGGGTACTTGAGTAGTGCTACAAATGACCCTGAGGACCTGTCACGAGCGGCGGCACACGGGTGCTAATGCTCGGAACGATTGTGAAGCCTTTAACTTGAAGCTTCAACTGCTCAAAGGCTTTGAGAGGTAGCTGCTATGTTTGACCTCAGGGTTTGGCCACTGCCGGGACCGACAATGGTGCTCAGAGCTGAGATCACCGCAATCGGTTTGAGCTCCAGCCCGGCAACAAGTGGGCGTTAGAAGCTAGACTCTTGGTTCCAGCAATGATTATGGTGCTGTGCTAAAGAAAGTCAGGCCAAACGCAGTAGAAGCATGAAAATGTCGCGCATCATGAAAAAAGCTGTCTGCTATCATGGACCTGCATGACGACATATCCACTGAAGTGCGCAGTCTCCAAAAAAATGCAGTCCCTCCTCGATACCCCAATTGTCTATGGTCCTCCAATCTCTGAATATTCCGTAGACCCTGAACAATCCGTATAAGACTCTCGTTTACCTTCCACCCCCTTTGAGCCCTTTCAGCAGCGGCTCTGAAGCCTGCGTCGCAAAAGTGAAAATGCTTGCAACCCTCTCACTGCGTACTCGGCTGGGGCTCGCACAAAGGTCA